GCATCTTCTGAAAATGATTTTTTGTCCTCTCTGGAACGGTTCGCAGCCGAGTGCAAGTTGGCCGGCCTGCATGTGAACACATCTAAAACGAAAAGCCTAGAGCTTTTTCGTTCTCCTGCCCGTTGCTCTCTTCAGATTAACGTGAAGGTAGTGGAGCAGGGTGAGAAGCTCAAGTACCTCAGAGTCGTGTTTACTGGTGATGGAAAATTTGAGGAAGAGATCGACTGGCGAATTAGAGCAGCCAGTGGCGTTCTGCGTGAACTAATCCGACCATTGTGACTAAAGCAGAGCTCAGTCTGAAAACTAAGCTGTCGATAATCAAGTCGATCTTTATCTCCATGCTTACTTATGGTCATGAGTCGTGGACCATAAGTGAAGAGCTTCGAACCCGGGTACAAGGTGCCGAAATGGGTTTTCTTACACTAGTCGCTGGCCTTAAGCGTCTCGACATGATCCGGAATACTGATATCCGCGAGAGCCTTAGTGTACAGCCGCTACTTCTTCAGACTGAAAAGTCGTAGTTGCGATGGTTTGGGCATGTGCTGCGAATGCCTCCAGAAATGAAGACGAAGCAACTGCTTCCTGCCAAGACGACCGGCAGAAGGTCCAATGAACGTGCGGGATTAACCTTCTGCAAAAATACGTTAAGGAGCCTGCTCAAGACTCAGGCTGTCTTTTGCCGAAACTCAAACACTGGCAGAGGATCGGAAACGCTGGAAACACTGTCTGACGCGCCTGCCTCCAAGACCCGAAAGGAAGGTGAAGATGAGTGAAGATAAAGACGTCTGCAGAACAACTGCAAAGAAGAACCCAAGAACTGAATGATGACAAGTTCGAAGCTGGATTGAAACTGAACCTGATGAACACTCAAATAAGTCATGTTCAGCAAAGAGCAGACTCCAGAAGCTGTTGAGGGTGGTGAATTCAGTCTTGAAGAGGTGCTAAATTCGCCTGTCGGCTGCAGCTAACCTTTACAACGGAGAAGCAATCACGCGAAATCCGTATAAGAGTAAAAACGTCACGAGAAACTTTTGTAAGAATGAACGTGAACCAGTCTGTGCTTAAAACGTGAGGCCTCTGATCAGTGCGTGCTTACCTATGAGCTATAAACCTGGACCATAAGCTTGAAAACTGTTCACAAACTACAGACTACGCATGAACAGGAAGAGGATGAGAAAAAGGAAGAGGAAGAAGTCTGTCACAGCTGGAATGTCGATCTTCTTTTACTTTCATGATTCGGCCATTCTGAGTCCTTCTTTCGTGACGCTGAAGGCGCAGTGCTGATTTCCGTTTCTATGCCATCAGCCAGGAGTGCCTTATTTCTTTTAAAGGCAGAGTCTGTAACCCTTGAGCAAACGTAACGCTTAGTCACCTGTTTATTTCTCACAGAGCAGTACTCGTTTATCAACCTCGGAAGTAAGAAGGATGGTGAACACGACTTGGGTTTGAACTCGGGACCTATGGTTCTGAGTTCGACAGTCTACCGACTGAGCAACCCTGGTCTGAAGCAATATGTGGCAAGCTTTTTGCTCTGTGAATTCGTGAATAGAACAGTGACTGCCTTCGAGAGGAACTGAATCACGGGAGTTCAAAGCAGACGTCTTAGACACTGTGCCACAACAAACTACGCAACACAGCATGAAAAGATGTTGCGAACAGCAAGAAAAAATAGGCTAATGAATGGGCGAGAGCACAAACAGGAGTTGGCGATATCGCTGCTAGAACGACATAAGTGAACTAACGATGCGCAGGTCATGTAGCAAGAAGTGACTATCGTGAGACAAAAGAAATGACTTTGTTCCAACAGAGACTAAACAACTCAAGGTCGAGGTGCTGATCGACCAAAAGAGGTCAAGAAATTTGTTTGAGAAACGTGAATATATCGCAGATGACAAAATTTTGTGACAAAATCATACGAAACGGCTGATGACGAAGACGAAAATGAACGTCTTGACCAGCCTTGCTAGGTTGAATGCGGAACGGCTTTCGAAAATTTAAAAAGCCGCTAAAAATTCCGTTTATAAAAAGTTAATTCGTGTTAAATTTTAAGCAAAAACAAAACTTTCGATTGCCTGAGACAGAAAATGTCGTCGTTCCTGCACGTTGTAGCGAACCCAGCCCATCACTGCCTTGAACACCTGCTCTTCCGAACGCACGTTCAGCTCGTCACTCGAAATGATCTCGATCAGCTGACCGACCGGCAACATCAGAAACTCCTCGCTCTCCATCACCTTTCGAGCACAAAACAAAACAGCAGTTAGCAACACAAACTGGTACTGACGAATATACAATATATAACTAGTGTCTCCTCACTTCCTGAAAGTTGTGCTGCGTGAATTTGTCAGCAATGCGCAATAGTTCGCGGCACGCATGCGTGTCGGCGAACGCACGGATGCCCAGGCAGTTGGTTGGGTCGAGTTGTTTCTTCAGAAAGTCGCAGCAGATCTCCTGAATCTCCTGGATCTGCAGCAGGCACGCGGCAGGTAGAAGCGTCTGCACGGTCGACTCTTCGACAACGATCGTCGACGAGTAGCAAAAGTCTATCAACATCTCGAGCGCGTTTTCGTCTATGTCCTGCATA